GACAAGTCAGAGAGAGGCCCCCTGACCAATATGGTGATTGGCAGGGAGAGTCACTCTCTCCCTGAGTCCTCACTATGGGTGGGGCAGGAACAACCTCCAGTGCTGAGGACTTCACAGAAATCAGGTACCACCTACACAGCAACTTCCCGCCGTAGACATAAAGAGGAAATTATGTGGAAAAAAAAATACCTCCCCACCACTCTTTCTACTCTTCCTGCCATTTGCATGTCTCTGGTCTAACCTGCCAGAATGGAGGCATGGAAGAAAGCCCAGTCAGTTGCTCATATAAGAGAGCTTGTTAGATATGATACCAAACACAGGGACAAAAGAAAAAATTATTAAATGGATTTTAAAATTAAAATATTTTTGCAACAAATAATACAATTAATAAAGTGAAAATATGACCTACCAAATGGGAGAAAATACAGGATATCCAAAAAAATGTATAAACACACTATGAATAATTATGAAGACCATGCTTATTAAAATGCACTTCATTTTGAAAATCGAGCTATCAGCTGTAAAAGTGTGTATACATTTTTTGGGGACACCTGTATTTACAAATCATATATATAATTAGATATTTGTATCCAGAGTATATAAGGAACTTCTACAACTCCAAAATTAAAAAATAATGTGATTTTTTAAATGTGCAAAGGACTTGAATAAACAGTTCTCCAAATAAGACATAAAAGTGGCTAATAAGCACATGAAAAGATGCTCGACATCATTAATGATCAGGGAAATGAGGCCTTCTGTGAAGGCCTCAGTGAGCTATCATTTCACACCCACTGGGCTAACCAATTGAAAAGATGGATAATAATAAGTGTTCACATGGATGTAGAGAAACTGGAACACTCACATATAGCTAGTGGGAACATAAAAAGGTGTAGCCACTTTGGGAATCAACATAACATTGCCTCAGATGGTTAAACAGAGAGTTACAACTGATCTAGCACTTCCTCTCCTAGGTATATACTTAAGAGAAATGAAAACATATGCCCACACAAAGACCTGTACATGAATCTTCATAGCAATCTATCCTATCTAATAAAAGAGTAATATGCAAATTGACTATCACTCCAACACAAGATGGCTGTCCCTTGTGTGGTCAAAGATAGCCATCCCCATGTGTACATAAGATAACCATCACAAGATGGCCAGCAGGGGAGGGCAGTTGGGAGGGATCAAGCCTGCAAGAGAGGGCAGTTGGGGGGAACCAGGTCTGCAGGGGAGGGCAGTTGAGGGCAACTAGTCTGCAGGGGAGGGTAGTTGGGAGCATCCAGGCCTGCAGAGGAGGGCAGTTAGGGGCAAAAACAGGCTGGCAAGGGAGGGAAGTTAGGGGTGACCAGGCTAGCAGGAGAGGGCAGTTGGAGGCAACCAGGCTGGCAGGGGAGGGCAGTTAGGGGTGACCAGGTTGGCAAGGAAAAACAGTTAGGGGTGACCAAGCTAGCAGGAGAGCACAGTTGGTGGTGACCAGACTGGCAGAGGAGGGCAGTTAGGGGTGAACAGGCCAGCAAGGGAAGGCATTTAAGGGTGACCAGGCTGGCAGGGGAATAGTTAGGGGGTGATCAGGCTGGCAGGCAGAAGCAGTTAGGGGCAATCAGGAAGGCAGGGAGGCAAGCGGTTGGGAACTAGCAGTCCTGTATTATGAGAGGGATGTCCAACTGCCCATTGAGGCCCGATCCACAGGGGTCCCAGAGTGGAGAGGGTGCAGGCTGGGCTGAGCGATCCACCCCCTTCAACCATGCATGAATTTCATGCTCCAGGCCTCTAGTATATATATAAAATGCTTATATGCAAAGAATCCCCTCAGGAGTTCGACCGGGAGATTGGGAGTTTGATCGCTCACTCCAGAGGTTGGCATGGAATGAAGGAAGGCCAGCTGGGCGAGGAAGGCCCTGGTCGACAGTCAGAAGGCCTTGTTCAGCCCTGATCACCAGCCAGGCCTATGGTCCCTATCCATGCATGAATTTGATGCACCGGGCCTCTAGTCCTATATAATAAAGAGGTGATATGCAAATTGACCATCACTCCAACACACAAGATGGCTGCCCCTATGTGGCCAAAGATGGCTGCCCCCATGTGGACACAAGATGGCCACCACAAGATGGCTGGCAGGGGAGGGTAGTTGTGGACAATCAGGCCAGCAGGGGAGGACAGTTTGGGGGAACCAGGCTGGCAGGGTGGGCAGTTGGGGTGATCAGGCCTGCAGGGGAGAACAATTAGAGGTGACCAGGCCTGTAGGGGAGGGCTGTTGGGGGCGACCAGGCCAGTAGGGGAGGGCAGTTATGGGTGACCAGAATGGCAATGGAGGGCAGTTAGGGGCAATTGAACCAGCAGCAGAGGCCAGTTAGGGGTAACCAGGCTGGCAAAGGAGGACAGTTAGCAGCCACCAGGCCAGCAGGGGAGGACAATTAGGGGTAACTAGGCCAGCAGGGGAGGGCAGGTAAAGGCAATTGGGCTGGCAGAGGAGTAGTTAGGCACCGATCAGGCTGGCAGGGGAGTGGTTAATTGCAATCAGGCAGACAGACGAATGGTTAGAGCCAGCAGTCCTGGATTGTGAGAGGAATGTCCAACCGCCATTCACTAGGATCGGACCTAAGCCTAAATGGGCAGTTGGACATCCCTTGAGGGGTCCCATATTGGAGAGAGTGCAGGCTGGGCTGAGGGACCCACCCCCTGTGCATGAATTTTGTGCACTGGGCCTTTAGTATTATTCATAATAGTCTAAAGTATAAACAATCCAAATGTTAATAAGATGACTTTCGAAATGAAAAAAAGTCAACCAAAAATCGGGGGCAAAAGATCAAAATTGCACAAAAATTACCTGCAGATCTTGACGGCAAAGTAAGTCTTTTCTTTGAAGTGGGGGGTAGTCTTATACAGCGAATATAGGCCTAAACCTATGTTTTAACTGTAAAATTAGGGGGTCATCTTATATGCTGGAAAATACGGTAAGTAAGATAAGATATAACCATACAATGGAATATTATTCAACATAAAAAGGAATGAAGTATGAATACATCCCACAACCTGAATCAACCTTAAAAACATTATGCTAAGGAGACAAAATGATTTGACTGTGTGGTGGGTAAACAGTACAACATAGAAACCCACACCTGACACCTATTCGATGATATTAACCAATGCCATCCCCATAAATTTAATTAAAAATGACAGACTTTATGTTCCATATATTTTACTACAATAATAATAAAAAAGGAACAGACCACATCTTATGCAACTGCATTTATACAAAGTCCCAAATAGGCAAAAGTATAGAGATAAGAAAGCAGATAAGTGGTTGTTTAGTAGTTGGGGAGGGGAGTTTGAAGGGTGGGGGTGTATGAAGATTGACTAATAATGGATGAGAGTTTCTTTTTGGGGTGATTAAAATATCCTAAAATTGTTTGTAGTGATGGTTACAAAACTCTGAATATACTAGTGCTATTGAATTATATACTTTGGGTGAATTGTATGGTATGTGAATTATATCTCAATAAGTTGTTTAAAAATAGGGAGGGAGGCCATCATAAAACCAGGAGCCTGGTATTTCATTTCCAGATGCCCTGGTCATCCTTACTACCCCAAGTCTCTCAGAATTGCACAAGTTTCCTCACTCAAAGACAGTGCAGCATTCTCATTCGTTGTTTCAAACACATTTGAATTTGTTCCTTGCCCTTAAACATCCTGCAGCCACCACTCAAGAGCAGCATTCCTTCTGCCCAAAGGGTCCCCCATCAACCACTTCAGCTCTCCGGGGGGAGGGGAGGTAGGCTGAGGGAAAGAGAAAGAGAGGATGTTCCAACTAAGGAAAGGGCTCAAAATGGCAGAATAAAATGATAGAGAACTATCATTATGTGAAGACGGACAGTTCCATTTGGGTGAAGGGTTTATTTGTGGGCAAATGAGAACAGGTTCTTCGGTCACATACAGGAAACTGGGCTGGGGGTGAGGCCGGAAAGGAGACCTGGGAGCAACCACTGTCCTGAAGCCAGGCAGTGGGCTTGCCCTCTGACTCACTGGGCATCCCAAACAGGCAGTGTGGTGAGATATGGCAAGGCCCATTTTGTCAACATGACAACTGGGTACTCCAAGGCAACCTTGTCAGGACCCCAACACAAGACATGCTTAAAGCGTTGATGCAGTGAGAAAGTTAAAAGCATACTGATAACTGGCTTCTGAGAAAATATCATAGAAAATAATGTTTAAAAAGGTATAAAAGTATATAGCTACCACACACAAGCAGGCATTAATGAGATTACTAATCCGATGATGTGCACAGAGCATTACACTCCGTACCAGGTGCCGTCTAAACACAGTGCTCTCAGCAGTCAGGACTTTCCTCTCTCCTTTCAGGCTGTTTACTGAACTTCTCTGGGTGGTGCACTCATCTGTCAAATAGTTTTCTTTATAATTCTGTATGATTTTCAAATTTCTATCAGATCTGTATCTTATATAACCAGTAGCCACTGGGATGTAACAACTCTCACCCAAAAACCTTCTCAGACTTCATGAAAAGCCAACAAAGCCTTCTCATTGGAGTGTAACACGAAAATTAGCACAGCAAGGACCCAATCAATGCTCTTTGTTGAACAAAAAGAAACACCCACTGGAAATCAGTTAAGAGGCACCCAAATCCCACAGGCCTAGGAAGCTGAGCTCAGCCATCCAGAACCAAGGAACCAAGTAGTTAGTAGGACCTGTCTAACTTGCCACACCAGCTTGAGGCAGAAATTTTTCCAGTTTATCCCTCAGTGTGACTATGACTGGAGGCTCTGGCTCTTCTTTTATCTTCTCAGAAGACTATAAACAAAACAAAAATAACCACTAACTGTCTTCCACAAAATCTGTGAATGGACAGTTAATTTCATATTTTGGTTTTGCCTTTTTTATGAGTCTATACTCTTAAAACTCCCATGCATTGATCTCTTTTCTATAGATACAAGACAGGGACAAGTCAGAATATGAACCTCCCACAGCTGGTGCAGGCCTACCTGCAGCATATGACAGCTTTACAAGAGAGCGCCAAATCTAGGAAACTCCTCCTGACTTCAAAGGAGAGGGCATACTTGAGGGTGTGGCCATCGACGATGAGAGCTATGTCGTTCTCCTTGCCCAAAGAATTTCCAAGGTCCGTGCAGTGCTGAGTAATGGCTGCCCTTGTTGCCTGAAACAATAGTTGGGGTGGGTGGGGATAGAGGGGAAAGGTCACATTTTGTCTGATTAACATATCAAACCCAAAACAGAGGTCAAAAGTTCCTTGAAAAGAGAACATATAAAATATATGTAATATATATAATATAAACAAAGTTCAATTTGGTATATTTGTATATTAAAACTAGAGGCCCAATGCACAAAATTCATGCAAGGGTAAGGTCCCTAGGCCTGGCCGGTGATCAGTGTCAATCTGTGGGACGACTGGCAAGGCAATAATGGGGGCCTTGCTGGCACCTGCCTTGGCTGGCCTGGTGCCGCCTACTCACCAGCCCTGCCCCCTGCTGCTACCCACTTGCAGGACCCAACCCCCACTGCCACTACAATAAACCATCCTGGCTGCAGCCTATTGCAGATATACAGCATCCAAATTCTTTTTCTTTGGAAATGTAATTGCTAAAGTCCTTACAACTATCTTTCTCTCCCTCCTTTATACTACATACATATTATTCTTGGTGCTTCATAGAAGCTCTATATCAGTGTTTTTCAACCTTTTTTGGGCAAAGGCACACTTGTTTCATGAAAAAAATCACGAGGCACACCACCATTAGAAAATGTTAAAAAATTTAACTCTGTGCCTATATTGACTATATATAAAGTAATTCTCTTGAATAGGAATCAAATAAACACAAAGAAAGTATTTTATAATTAAGTAAACAAAATAGTGAAAAATTATAAAATTCTTGTCTTGTCTGCACCTACGGCACACCAGGCAACATCTCGCGGCACACTAGTGTGCCGCGGAACAGCGGTTGAAAAACGCTGCTCTACAAACAAATGTGTTTCTTGGGCAAATATATGTTGCTGATTTATTTATTAATTATTTATTGCTTAAAGTATTACATATGTTTTCTTTTTCCCTCATTGACCTCTTCTCAACCACTCCCAACCACCAGCACATGCCCTCACCCTTCTTAGTGTCTGTGACCATTGGTTATGCTTATATGTATGCATACAAGTCCTTTGGTTGATCTCCCCTAAACCCCCCAATCCTTTCCTCTGAAGTTTGATGGTCTGTTCAGTTTATGTTGTTTATTAAATTCCACATGAGTGAGTTCATGTGATATTTATCCTGTTCCTACTGGCTTATTTCACTTAGCATAATGCTCTCCATGTCCATCCATGCTGTTGCAAATGTTATTTTTTTCACAACAGCATAGTATTCCATTGTGTAGATGTACCACAGTTTTCTATTTCACTCATCTGCTGATGGGCACTTAGGCAGTTTCCAAATCTTAGCTATTGCAAATTATGCTGTTATGAATATAAGGGTGCATGTATCCTTTCTGAATGGTGTTCTGACTTCTCTGGATATATTCCTAAAAGTGAGATTACTGAATCAAATGGGAGTTCCATTTTTAATTTTCTGAGGAAACTCCATACTGTTACCCTCAGTGGCTGCACCAGTCTACATTCCCATCAGCAGAGCACAAGGGTTCCTTATTCTCCACATCCTTGACAGCACTTGTTCTTTGTTGATGATAGCCATTCTGACCGATATGAGATGGTTCCTAATTGTCATTTTGATTTGCATCTCTTGGATGATTAGTAACTGTGAGCATGTTTTCTATGTCTCTTGTCCTTCTATATGTCCTCTTTCAAAAAATGTTTATTTAGGTCCTTTGCCCATTTTTATGGGATTATCCTTTTGTTTAAAATATATGAGTTCCCTTTACATTTTGGAGGTTAGACACTTATCTATCTATCTACCTATACACATAATTATATAAAAGCCTAAGTGACTGTTATGATCCTACAATCAAATGACCAGTCGATCAGTTGCTATGACACACACTGACCACCAAGGGGAAAATACTCAATACAAGAGCTGTCCCCTGATGGTCAGTGTTCTCCCACAGCTAGCATCCTGAAGCAGGCCAACCTACGGTAGCCCTTCCCCCATCTGCCAGCCCTGATCAGCCCCTGCCCTCACCCAACCATCTGGACCCAATTGCTTTAATAGAAACTGAGCAAGATGGCCCTTGGTATGCCCAATTGGCTCTGATCACTGGGAAGGCCAAGGGACTCCACCTGTGCACGATTTTGTTAGCCGGGCCTAAACGATCCTTACGAATGGTCAACCCAGTCATTATGATGACACACTGACCACCAAGGGGAAGACACTCAATGCAGGAGCTGCCCCCTGGTGGTCAATGCACTCCCACAGCCAACCTCCCATGGCCTGCCAAACTCCCATCATCCCTCTGCCAGCCAGCAGGCACCTATCAGCTCCTGATCCATGGCCAGAACCAAGGGACCCCACCCTTGCATGAATTCGTGCACCAGGCCTCTAATCAGATATAATATTGGCAAATATGTTCTCCCATGCAGTGAGCTTTCTTGTTGTTTTGTTGATGGTTTATTTTGCCATGCAGAAGCTTTTTATTTTGATGTAGTCCCATTTATTTTCTCCTTAGTTTCCATTGTCCTAGGAGCTATATTGGTAAAGATATTACTGCAACAAACAGTATGTCTGATATTTTGGTGCCTATGGAGTCTTCTAAGTTTGTTATAGTTTTGTGTCTTATGTTTAAGTCCTTTATCCATTTGAGTTTATTTTTGTATACAGTGTAAGTTGGTGCTCTAGTTTCATTTTTTTGCATGCATCTGTCTAAGTTTCCCAACACTATTTATTGAAGAGACTGTCTTGACTCCATTGTATGCTCATGCCTCCTTTGTCAAATATTAATTGAGCATAATAGAATTGGGTTGGTTTCTGTTTTCTCTGTTCTATTCCATTGGTCTATATGTCTGTTTTTGTGCCAACACCAGGGAGTTTGAAAACAGTAGCTTTGTAATATTACTTGATATCTGGTATTGTGACCTCTCCAACTTTATTCTTCTTCCTCAAGATTGCTGCAGCTATTCAGGTTCTTTTTTTATTCTGGATGAATTTTTTGAGAGTTTGTACTAGGTCTTTGAAATATTCCATTGTATTTTAAGGGGGATTGAATTAAATCTATAGATTGCTTTGGGTAATATGGACATTTTAATGATGTTGATTCTACAACCCAAGAACATTGTATATTCTTCCATTTGTTCATGTCTTCCTCTCTCTCTCTCTCTCTCTCTCTCTCTCTCTCTCTCTCTCTCTCTCTCTCTCTTTTTAGCATCCTTTCATTTTCTGAATACATGTCCTTTACTCCTTAGTTAAGTTTATTCCTAGGTATCTTAACTTTATTGTTGCAATGGTGAATGGGATTTTTTTTTTTAGTTTCTCTTTCTGTGAGTTCATTACTGATGTATAAAAAATGCCATTGATTTCTGGGTGTTAATTTTATATCCTGTTAGGTTGACAAATTCATTTATTAAGTCCAGATTTTTTTGTTTGTTTGTTTGTTTGTTGTTTTTTGTTTGTTTTGGAGTCTTTAGGATTTTCTAAGTACAATATCATGTCATCTGTGAATAATGGCAATTTTACTTCTTTTCCAATTTGGATGCCATTTATTTCTTCTTATCTGATCACAATGACTAGTATTTCTAGTACAATGTTGAATTGGAGTGGTGAAAGTGGGCATCCCTCTCTTGCTCCTGTTTTTAGGGAAAATGGTTTTAGTTTTTTCCCTTTAAGTATGACGTTGGCTATAGGTTTGTCATATAAGGCTTTTATTATGTTGAGGTATGATCTCTCTATTCTCACTTTGCTGAGAGTTTTTTCAAGAAAGGGTGTTGGATTTTGTCAAAATGCTTTTTCTTCATCCATTGATGTGATTATGTGATTTTGTATCTCAATTTGTTTATGTGGTGTATCATGTTTATTGATTTTCAGATATTGTACCATACTTGCATCCCCAGAATAAATTCCATTTTTTTTCATGGTGTATGATCTTTCTAATTTAATACTGGATCCAATTTGCTAGAATTTTGTTGAGAATTTTGGCATCTATGTTCATTAGGGATATTGGCCTATAATTCTCTTTCTTTATATTGTCTTTATCTGGTTTTGAGATTAGGATAATGCTGACTTCATACAAAGAGCTTGGAATTGTTCCTCCCTCTTGAATTTTTGGAATAGTCTGAGGAAAATGGGTTTTATACCTTCTTTGAATGTTTGATAAAACTCCCCTGTGAAGCCATCTGTCCCAGGGCTTTTGTTTGTTGGAAGTTTTCTTTTGTTTTGTTTGGGGTTTTTTTGTTTTTTATTTTTTGTTTTTTTTACTGCTTCAATTTCCTCCAGTTATCAGCCTATTCAGACTTTTTGATTCTTCCTGGTTGAATTTTGAAGGTCATATTTTTCTAGGAATATGTCCATTTCTTCTAGGTTGGCCAGTTTGTTGGAATAGTGTTGCTCACATTATTTTTTTATGATTCTTTGCATTTCTGTGGGATCTATTGCTATTTCAGTTCTTTCATTTGTGATTTTGTTTATTTGGGTCTTCTCTCTTTGCTTCTTGGTGAGACTGGCTAAAGGTTCATCAATCTTTTTTATCCTTTGAAAGGACTAGTTCTTGATTTTATTTATCTTTTGTATTATGTTTTTTATTATTTTATTATTTTTTATTTTGGGTGTGTGTGTGTGTTGTTTGTTTGTTTTGGTCTCTATGTCATTTATTTCTGCTCTGATCTTTAATGTATCCTTCTTTCTACTTACTCTGGGCTTTTCTTGTTCCTCTCTTTCTAATTCATTAAATTGTAGAATAAGATAATTTATTACCAGTTTTTCTTGTTTTTTGAGGTAGGCCTGTAAAGCTATGCACTTCCACTGTTGTCCCAAAGCTTCCTTAGGCTTTTCTCCTCCTTTTTATTTTTTTCCCAAATTGCTGTTCATATTAGGTGTGTTTTCTTGCCCTGTCTCCTAACTCACTTATTCAGTCCTCTGCTTCCTATGCTCTACGATTGTAACCTTCCATTGTGTTTTTTTTTTTATTGTAGCTATATCATTCTTCATTTCCTCTTGATTTTTACATAAGTTATTGATTTTCTCATCCTACCAATTTATGAACTGTATGACCC